GGGAAGGGAAGGGAAGGGAAGGGAAGGGAAGGGAAGGGAAGGGAAGGGAAGGGAAGGGAAGGGAAGGGAAGGGATACTTGGAGATACCCCAGAAGATGTTCCCAGAGATCTCCAACAACTACTCCAGCCCCATGTGACTCTTTGTTGCCTCTATTGCCACTTCCAGACCCTGTGACTCCCAATCCTCTCCCCACTGCTGTGCAAACCACATTCCCATCCTGTCCTCCTCTCCCTCCCTCTCCTTATCCCACTCCTTCCTTTTTAATTCCTCTTTGCAAGTGAACAGGGCTCTTTCTTCACCTTCCTGGAGCCAGCTGGGCCTCACGGAAAGCCCAGCTAAGTCAGTCCATCCCCACCTCTGGCTCTTGGCCCTGCTCACAGACGACATATGGGTTCAGACACCTCATGCTTTCATTAGGTTTTTCCTTCTGCTGCAGGGCAGAGGTGAGCCGGGGCCTCAGCAGTGGCCATTTCATCTGGAAAGCGGTTGTCATAGTCATTGGCAAAGACACATGTTGAGGAAGAAGGCATGTTCCCTCTCTTCCCCAGCAAAGCAGCACTCTGTGACTAAAGTTTGGAAAACAAGATGGAAAGCAAGAATCCCATGCAGTTTTCATTCGTATCCAGGAGAAATTCATCATGCCTCCCTGCTCTGAGAAATAGATGGCTAGGAAATATAATACAGCATTTTCAGGATGGTTCATTAATTTTTCTTTATTTTTTTTCTCAGCACAAAACAAAAAAAATAAGGAACATATGGAGAACGAGCAGGAGCTATTTCTCAACGCCACGGCCATCTGAAGAGAGTTTAGATCCATAGCACGCCTCTGGAAAATTCATTCACACATCCCAATCACATTAGGCAATACAGATTGTTTTCATTTTTATGAAAATTTTTTACCCTTCTAAGCTCTAACAAACCAGAATATGACAAAAATGACAGGGGGCAAAATTGCCTTTAAGTCCCAGATGGCAACTACTTGTAACTCACTTAAAGTATTTATTTTGAAATAAAATGTGCTTTAATTTAGCAAAAAAGCTTGTAACAACATGTGTTTCATGGAGACTGAATCTGTACAAGCACAGACTATGAAAAGGACACGTATTTTACTCTCAGTGTTAACTGGCAATTGGAAGAAACTGCAGAAAACTCCACCAAATATTGCTGTCATTTGGGGGTGCTGATGCAAGACAGCGCATGTCTTTGATATCTCTTTCAGCACACCTAGAAATTGTGGACAAGATGAAAGACCCCCTAAATGCAGCACAGACCTGCCTTCTGTCTTCCCTGATGGAACTCATTGTTCATTGCCTGCTTTCCGCATATTTCCCTGTTTTTCTCAAATAATTTATTTCTTTTTCACAGATAAACTTGCTTATATTGCACCAGTGTGTACAGGGCCAACAGGATCATATGTCAAGCAAAAGAAAGTTGCCCAGAGGGGTTGTGCTGCCTCCATCCTTGAATGTTTTTAGGACTCAGTTGGATAAAACCCTGGGAAAACTGGCCTAACTCTAAATGAAACTTCTTCCTACAAATCACAGAATCGTAGAATCATAGAATAGTTTGGGTTGGAAGGGACCTTTAAAGGTCATCTAGTCCAACCCTCCTGCAATCTTAGATCATCAAGCATACTTCCACTTGCATGGGGTGAATCAGTGCAGATTTACATGCTCTGTAATTTTCATTTTTCTCTTTCCTCCTTCTCTAGCAGATCCTCCTGTTATTTATCGTTTTGGGCTCTGGGCTCTGGGCTGACCTTTCCAGAGAATGATCTGCCATGCCCCCAAAGGATTATCCCACCATCTACTCAGCACTTGCAAAGCCACATCTAGATACTGCATCTGGTTTTGGGCCCCAGTACAAAAAAGGCATCAACAAAATGGAGCAAGGTCACCTGATGGCTCCCATGGTGGCTGGGGATGGAGCAATGCTCCACGAGGAGAGGCTTAGGAAACTGGGCTTGCTCAGTCTGGAAAAGAAAAGGTTTTGGGAAGACCCAAGAGCAGAAGAGCAGCCTTCCTCTAACCATTAGGAGGTTGTCAAGAAGATGTATTCTTTTCAATGTGGCATGGCAGGAGAATGAGAGAAAACAAGTGTAAGTTGAAACAAGAGAGGTTCAAAGTGGATATAAAGAGAAACTTTTTCACTGTAAGGATGATCAAGCACCGTAATAGTCCCAGAGAGGTTGTGCAGCATCCATCCTTGGAAGCTTTCAACACCAAACTGAATAAAGCCCTAAACAACCTTGTCTGACCCTAGAGCTGCCCCTACT